TACACAGAAACAGTGTAGGATACCATCCTGGGTCTGGAGCACCTTCTTCTTCCAGGTAATACTCCTGTGTCTTGCAGAAATGCATCTTCCAAATTCTCCCACTCAACCTTGAGGCCAGCATCCCTTCTGCAAAGGCCAATTTCCAAACCACAACCTGCTTCTTGTCTGCAAATGTAATTTTCAGCTTAAGGCTCAACCCTCCCACAACCTAAAAGGAGAAAGAAAAATATTGCAGGTGAAGCAATATATCTCATTTCTCTGCAAACCACCCCCCCAGGAGGCAATGGCTGCACAGGCACGTGCAGCCCCCAACATCCTTTGCCTCATCCATCACCGCTTAAAAATAGCAAGCCAGTCTCTCTGTTGCAATAAATCACTGCAGCTCTGGGGTCTCCTCCACCTACACGGGTTGAGATTTCAGCCCCACCACTGAGCAAAGGAAACCTGCAGAAAGGGAGTAGGTCACAGCATGCCCCATCAAAGCTGTGCCAGTTGGGTTGCCAAGGCTGTGAGAGTGCATCCAGTGTGGTTTTCTGGATGTGCATCAGAGCAGTATTCCCCTGAAGGCTCAGCAATGTGTTTTTCTCCTGGCTCTTGGAGCTGATGAAAACCTTGAGGCTGTGGAGTGAATTGTGGGACCCCCAATACCACTTTCCCTGACACCTCACCCCACCAAGTAGCACTGCACCTCTGGAGCCTTTCACTGTGTTCCATGGGTGGTATCACAGGAAAAGAAATAAGAAGATAATAAATATGAGTAATAAACACAGAGAAGGGAAGAGGGAGCAAACAAACCTCAAACCAAATATTCAGAAGGGTCAGGGTCAGGAGGCAAAGCAGCTGTCTGAAAGCCCCACAAATGTTAGTGGGTGCATGGCATTAGGGAGCTGATAGTCAGCAACATCCTTGCAGATTTGGGCTCTGCACATCCTTCACACCTTTTCTGAGGAAATCCAAAACCCTTTAAAATATTTTCATAGCAAGAGATCAAGCAACACACCTCCTCCTCACCCAAGGAGCGTAAACTGAATACATGTATTTCACAGGTGGGGAAACTGAGGCAGAGGGCACAGCAATGTGTTCCCAAGGTTGTCCTGCCTAATTTGTGTCCATTATGCACAAATTAAGCCAAACCAAGGACAAGACATGTAAACGCAGGGCTCGAGGACATCTGTGAGTACAAATACCTGATGGGTAGAGACTCCTGAGCCCCAGAGGGAGGGAAGGAGAGAAGAAGGGAGTAGGGCAACTCATGCATTCTCTTTGAAGCTGGAGGAGTAACTCCCCATGCATAAGGCAAACAGGACAGGAACTGCACCTAAACCACTGCTCACAGACACTTGTCGAAATCCATCCTGAAGATCTCCGATAATGCAGCTTCAACAGGCAGAGGATCACTGTCCTCTCCCCATCGCAGAAGGAGGGTAAGTTATTCCCATCCTTTTTTCATCAGTCCTTTCCATAGCCGACACCTGTTGTTTGGCCTCTCTTAACTTAAACAGCCAAAACACGTTCATTTCCTCTTCACAGTTCTTATTTTCTAGATCTCTGAAAAGTTGATCTGACCCTCCACACGACTGTGACATTTTCTGTACCCCCTTCACCACACTTCTCTCCAACCCTATTTATAGTCACTTTTAATGTGCCTACAACTTGACAAAACTCTTTGCAAAAGCCGTGTGGAGAAGTATGCTTGTGCATGGGGCAAGATTCAAAGCTCATCAAGGGTGAAAAGAATTATGTTAATCCTGCTTTCATGGGAAACACCAACATGTGGGAGACTCCTGCAGCTTCAGTCAATCCTTGCTTTCAGCTGAGCAGGTTGCAGTGAGATGACCAGACTTCTGGCACTGGCCAAACAGACCTCTCTCTTATAGTAAATACCAATGGGAAAACTGATTTGGGAAGCATCAGTTGCATTGTTGTTAACATTTCACCCCATCTACACTCCTGAGTTATGATACAAGCTGTGCTGGAACAATCATACAGTCATGCAATGGTTTGGGTTGGAAGGGACTTTAAAGATCACCTAATTCCAACCTCCCAGTCAGGGACAGGGACACCTTCCACTAGACCAGGTTGCTCAAAGTCCTATCCAATCTGGCCTTGAACACTTCCAAGGACAGGGCATCCACAGCTTCCCTGGACAACCTGTTTCAGTGCCCGAAGGTAAAGAATTTCTCCCTGATATCTAATCTAAACCTACCCTCTCTGTTTAAAGCCATCCCCCCAATGTCCTATCACTTTGTTCCTGTGTAAAAAGATCCTCCGTGGCTTTCCTGTAGGCCCCCTAGAAGGGAGAGGTGAGGGGAACCAGGTGAGGAGCAGTTGGTTTTGCATCTCAGAGTGACTGGAGCAGCCACTTGCCACAAGATCCTTGAACTCAGTTCTGAGGCACTGGTGCTTTCACCTGGATTTGCCAGGTTATCTCTTACTTGTGATTTCTCAACCTGGTTTTGCCTTCTTCTCTGTTTCCTTCTTCCTTGTTGAGTTGTTCTGGTAGGACGGTCCAAGCTTAGCCAGGTCCAGCAGCCTGCTGCTAGCTCAGAGTAAGTGCGTCAATATTCAACCCCCCAGATGGTGATTAACCTGTTCTCACCACCGTGCCCAGAGACCCAAAAGGGAATTAGGCTGGTGCTGCTGGGTGGAAGGTAGTTTCATAACGTTTCTCCCACATGGCCAGATCTTTTCAGGAACATGTGCTCCCGTTGGTGGTAGGGCTGAAGAACTCTGTGGAACACCGCGTGAACAACCGTGTGGTGCCACTGCGTGGCTGTCACTGCGTCAGCAGGTTGATTAGCATAGGCTGAGCAGGTGATAATCCAAAGCATGCCTGGGGAAAAACTTGGGAGGTCACCTCCTGAAAGTGTAGGCTTTTCTCTCCAGGTCACTCATCCACTTCCAATTAAGAGCATAGCTGTGAATTTAGCACCAGAGGGATGGGCCTTCCTGGTGGTTGGAAGGGATGGAGGAGCATCGTGGGCCTGTGAAGCCTGGTGAGGCTGGCTTGTGTGCCCCACGGCTGGCTGGGGACAGAGTGGTGTCTATGTGGTGCCCATGACACTAAGGAACATGTGCTTTTTAGTGCAAAGTTCCCTGAACACTCACCAACTCTGGTGAGAAAACACACATCTGATGCTGTGGGGCTGTTAATAATGATGAGTGAGGGACCAGGACTTCTTGAAGATGTTTTATCCAGAGGCTATGGAGAATAGGAAGAGATAGATGTGTTACAACATACCTCAGCTTCACCATTTTATTGAACTTCACCACAATCAGTGTGTTTGTTTCTCTTTGAAACCTCCTGCTGGAGCACGGAGACCCTTAGTTTTCCTTTTTAAAGAAAATTAACCTTCAAAACTAGCTTGAGTGTTATGACCTTCTAGAAAAAGTGAAGAAAAATGGTAAACAACTGCACAACATAATAAATTTTTAAATTCCCATGACCTCCCAGGGACAGACTCCTGGAAACAGCATTGCCCTGATGGCATTAGGAGGAGCAGGGGTTCTCCTTGGGAGCCAATGCTGGGAGAGAGCACTAGAAAGGGTTGCAAGGAGAGAGGTGACTTCAATTGTGGGATTCAGAGCTCCCCCAGGGTTGTCTTGATTAACATTCCAGTAAGCCCTGGTGCTAGCTGTGTTCTGAGGTAGCTTACAACTTCCAGGGAGATCCAGATCAGACTTCATCCATGTTGGACCTGCTGTCTGCTCTGGCTGCACCCCAGTCATAGTGAGCTTGTCTGTACAAACCAACCCTCTGTAAATGTTTGATGGAGGAGAAAATTACCAGCTGAGATGGAAAGAGGTTTAGTCAGACTTTGGGTCCAAAGGGGTTTTCCACACCTCAGCATGTGCCTGAGTAAATAACTCCTTCCTTTGTCCTTGTTGTCAACCTGGCAGATGGCAGAACAGTTATTGATTAGGGTTTTCCCCAGTACAGCAGGGTAGTCTCTGTCTTAAACATGACTTTGAAGAGCCCAAGGACAGAAAGCTCAGCACTGGGCTGCCAAGCTGAGGGAAGCTTCAGTCAAGACTCCTCCTGCCACAAACAGTATTCTGCCCAGTCCCATCTTGCCATCTGGGCAATTTCACACCAGTACGTGCTGCCACTCTTCCCTGTTTAATTGATCACAGTTATTCCCATCCCACACACTTTCCATCTCCTGGACACGCAGTCTCTCCCAGAGGTAGAGGAGACTGTTCAACTCTCTTTTCTTCCTCTGTTTTCCTTTGCACAGTATGAAGTCCAAATGTCACTGGACTTTATTGCATCAATCCCTTGCTAACCCCTTTATTTCCCTTGTCACACTGACAGGTGACATGCTGGCAGGCTCCTAAAGCAAAGAAGTGCACACTGCCCGTGGCATGGTAACAACTCTTGGTCTATCCCTCTTGCTTTACATCAGGACCTTGGCCACTTGGAACTGCCTGGTGTGTCCAGCCTGGCAGCCTAACTCACCTCTGTCTGGGAACTGCAACTTCCCTGGAGTTAAATCACTTTACACCACTTAGTGAAAAAACAAGTGAATGTGTTTAATGTTGTTTAAACCTTCAAGGCCTCACTTTTTTTGTGCTCCTTTGCTTTGAGTTCCTTTCAAGGTTCCCAAATGCTCCAGGAATGGAGGGATACAGGACCAGCAACCCCATGGAAATAAGTGCCCTTTGAGCAAAGTGAGGATGTGAATATATAAATATTTAACCAGGGGACACAGTGACCCCTGTCCCTCACCCATGCCTGGCAATCATTACTGGGACCAAGCCACTCATGATCCGCAGAAACAGGACAGAAGGTGGTGAAATGAAGCCACTCCCACAGCAGCTCTGGGGTTGCTTTTGAACCCCCCACAACCAGACACTCCACCAGGGCAGGACCACATGCCAAAATCCTACTGCCCACCATTGTCCCAGGCCAGCTCAGTGCAGCAGCTCACCCCATTTGAACGTCTGGTTCAAACCTCCATCCACAGGGTAATAATTAACCTTGAATGGAGGTTGTGCAGCATTTTTTCCCCAACTCCTTCCTTCTTTTAAACTCTCAGACATAGTGAAAGTGAAACAGTGCCATAGTCTCTCCCGGCTAACAAACAGGGGAAGGTGCTGGAGGTGTTGGGCAGGTGCAGACAGGCCTTTTTGTCCACCTTTTACAGCCCTTTTCAGACGGAAAAGGAGGACGAAGAGCAGCACCATTCTCAGAGGGAGCCCCTCAACCAGCATGTGCGTGAGGAATGGTGTCCCAGTCAGATGATGTGGGTGAGCTGCCCTGGTCCTCTGCCCTGCAGAGCTGCCCACCTGCCCCTGCATCTCCCCTGGATTTCCTGTAGCAGGGAGCTGCTCTCAGTTTCATTCCTGTGCCATTCCTGTGGATCATTCCTGCACCATCCCAGCTCACCGTGGATGGGATCAATTTGGTCAGTACTTGGGTATATATTCCATCCCTTTTCTTGCCTGTTTCTTGTTCCTTCTTCCCTGGCTCCCTTTACTGCTCAGCTCGCCCCTCTGATCCTTGCTGCTCTGCTCTGTCCATAGAGTCCCCATGCAGAATTTAAGCTAGGTGTCAGCCTCCTTCCTACTGAAATCCCTGGACAGTGGGGTGCCCTCCTCTCCCTCCCACCCTCTGTATGGGCTGTGATGGGGTGAGATCCTGAGCGAGGCAATGAATGGTTAGATATTTCTGTGAGAGCATGTGATGCGGGGTTTGATCCCTCTGTGAGAGCAGCTCAGCAAACCCATGGGAAGGTGCAGTCCCTGCAGTTCAGAACTTGTGAAATAACCGTGCACAAGGGAGCGAAACTCTGATTGAGGAAAGGTGAAATCCATTTCCAGAGTCCCAACATGTCCATTCACTGCAGTCGTATTTCAGTCTCTGGGCTGGACAGATCTGAGACAGGCAGTTCCTGGGTCACCTCAAGTAATAGCTGTTTCTAATGATTTGAACTGTTCACTGAGCTGCCCTGAGCCTGTGCCAGGGAAACATGGCGTTTTCCACCCTCAGCACTGCAAAGAACAACGTCTCCATGAGTGGGCTGTGTTAACTGGTGACCTGATGAGAGCTCTTTGCAAGGGAAGGAAGGCAAAATCTCTCTCTCTTCCCCCTTCACAAGCATCTGGGCCAGCCCTCAGGGTGGGTAGAGGGGAGTTAGTCTGTCTGCAGCAGGACAGGAGCTAAGTGCAGAGGATGTAATTGCAGCCCAGTAGCACTGACAGAAGCACTCCTGCTGAAATCTGAAATCTCCTGCAGCATCCCCTGCAGCATCCCCTGCAGCTCACACAGAGCTTTGTTTGACCTTGGAGATGCCCATTCTTGGCATGCTGGGATGCAGTGCTCTGAGGCAGAATGTGAACCCCTTCTGCATTGTACAGCCTCCTGCACTGTAACCACGATGACTCAGAGTGCAGAGATAATTGTGGTTTTAATGGAAGGGGCTAGAGCAGAGCTCGGATACCCACTGGAGACCACTCACCCCTGGGCCACCCCCAGCAGATGCAGGGCAGAAGTAACAACATAACCCAAAGTTGCCATATTCAGATCAGAAAGTGGTAACACCCCAGTGAAACTAAGGGGGATCATCACTCCTGCATGGCTGGAAATCTACCTAGAAGAATGGAAAGTAAAACCATACCTTGCTACCAAGTGAAATGGTATTTTTGCACAGACTTCAGCATCTCTGATGGTTAATGATTCCTTGGTGCAGGAGAAATAGCTGCCACTTTCCTGATTTAGGTAGTTAAGTGGAGCTTCCCAGAGCACCAGGTGCAGGCCAGCATCTGGTGTCTGTGGGTAGAGAAATTGTTTCAGCAGCTGCAGGCTACAACATCTTTCCCTATCTTTGTATTATGCACAGGAAAAGAATGGGTCAGATTTTCACTCCAGGACTGACTTTGGAGACAGAGTAATATCCTGTTAAGAACACCTCTAATTCTACTGTCTTATGCATTTCAGTGATTACCATCAACCTGTTTGGTAAACCTGTTTTTGAAAGACAAGAAAAATAGAAATATGGAGTTAAACCCAAGGACCGTGACCTCAGAACCAGCCTCTCCAACGAGCAGTGCCGGGGAGGAAAAGATGGAGATTACTTCTGAACTGAGCAGCCCAACTTCACTCAGCAGGGACAGTGGGTTCTTTGAAAGAAGTATTAGAAGGTTAAGCACCCGGAAATCGAAACAAAGTCCAAACAAAGAGAGTGGAAAGGAAGATACTGGCACTTGGAAAGGAAAAAGACTTTTGCGATCATTTAGGAGCTATGAGAAGAACAAAACCACGATATGCGATGGTGTAGAGAAGATTGGTGAAAGTAAAGAAGCGGAGCCCGTTCAAGGAAAACTACTTTCAGGTAAGAAGCAAAACCACCAGTGTTATTTGCTTGGCAGGATTAATGTAACCTTGAAGGTTACATTAATTTACAGTGTGCAAGTGTTGGGCCCAACAGAGGTGCTAAAGAACAAGGTGTCCCATCACAAGGGAGAGACAACTGCATCCCTTGCACGGTCTCGTTGGGTGTTACCTGGCCCAGGCTGGGCAGGTCACCTGCTGTCACTGAACATGCTGCTCTGTAGCCACCACTGCATTATTTCAGTGCATATCAGCAACCTATCCATCAACCTGTCAGTGGACATATCACCCTTCATACATATCAGTCACCAATCTGCTGACCATAGTTTGGGAACTGCTGGTCTGACAATACCTAGAAGTGCAGTGTGGACTATTTCGACACTATTGCCTGCATTGCCCTTCTGGACAATTTCTGCTCTTCAGCTCTCAGAGTGATGGTCCCCTGACTGTGCTCTGTAGGTTGGTGCAAGGCCTTGATGGGGAATAAAGATAGTTTGGCTGTGATCTGGCTTGGCATTTCCACTTTGGTTCCTAATCTTAGAGACTGCCTTGCAAAGACACTTTCACAGATACTTTGCTCTCTTACACTGACTTTCCACCTGTCCTTCTCACAACAGCAGTGCTGCAAGTATTTGTTGTTTGTCTTCCTCTGGCTGGTTACTCTCATGTGTTTTGTCAGCATTATGTAGATAGGTCTTGGTCTAATTATAATAACTACCTTTAGCATAGCTCTCACCTTTCCCCAAGTGTGGGCAGACTGCAATGACTTTGATCGTGATTTGAGCACCACTTCACTCCATCTTTTCAAGACAGAGGTACTAAAATGCATCCACCTGGTGATAGACTGAGGTGGGTTGACATGACTTGACCTTTCCTTGGGCTAAATTTCTAGAAAGAAATTCTTGATCTTCTGCATAGGGTGCCACAGGGATCAGATAGATGGGCTGGCATTGTCTCACTGCTGTAATGTGCTCTGCCTCACTGTGGTTACTTACTGCTTTGCACTGATACATTGTGAGGTCGGTAAATTGGATCTGAGCCTGTCTCATGAACTTTGTTAGTCTGATCTCAAAGGGTCATAGATGAGGAGCAACAGGAAATGTTATCATAAGATTTTTCATCTTCTGCAATAAACAAGCTGAATAATTGCATAAATAATGCCCATTCTCTGCTCAATAACTTGTATTTGGCCTGGACTAGAGTAGGTCTGTCAGAAACACATCCCATCCTGAGATAAGTATGGCAAGTGATGGAGACTCCACCATGTGCACCATTATCTGCATAATAGTTAATTGCCTTTCAATTGTCTTCCTTCAACCACCAGCTGGCTGATCTTGTATTGCTGAATTAAAGATCCATTTAGCACCCAACATCACCTCCCTGAATAATTATCCTAGATGGTGATTAAATACTGTTTTCTCACTTTGATAAACAGAAGAGAATGTATTCCTCTAGTCTCTCACTGCAATCATTTGTATAAAAACAGGTTTTTTATTAATTTATCTAGAAGAGACTAAGTTAATTGGTACAATCTCCCTCCCTTCCTGGTGTAGAAGCAACTGTAGCACCATATAGGCACTCAAAGATTTATGTGTTCTATGATGTATCAATAGTTGGGATATGTGGCATATTTCTGTATTTATACAGATACTCTTATGGTACACAGACAATTTAGTACATACAGTATAAAACCCGTGTGCAGACAAGCCTAAGGGCACAAATTACAGGCTATGAACCAGTCCTTCATATCTTCTTTGAGTACTCTCCAATTTTTCCTTATCATTTAATATGTGTATGTCCCAGAAGTAGTGGCCACACATGCCTAAATAGGACCCTTTCCCTTCTCTTTAATATTTGCCCAGTATCACAGTGGGATCTCCTGTTCAGAGCATCTGTTACAGTGCTGGAGATGGTGAGAGCTTCCCAAGGTCTCTCAAAAGCTAACAGTGCATCTGGATCTCCTCAACACATGGCAAATACTTCCTGTCTTACTGGCAAATAGGCAGTGGTTCTTGCATGAGCAAGGCTTTGTAAAGTAAATGTGAAACTCAGTAGACCTCAGCTACTGCTACCCCCACCCCTCACTTTGGGGATATCAGTATTTGGTGACTTTTGCCCAGCCTCAACCAACACCAGCCAGTACTGGCAGTGGGTGCCAAAAGCAAAGGAAGTGGGGAAAACCCATGTGAGACCTGAGCACCAGGAGCACCCCAAACCTACAGGTTTGGATGCCCCTCCAGTGCACACACCTCCCCAAACCACTCAGTGCTTGCCGCCTGGGAAACAAATGTGACTGGTGCAAGGCAGTACTTGGCATCTGACTGTAAGTTTATATACAGGAGGTGAACAGCCAAGTCATCCAACCCTGAACCACCCCAGGAGGGTGAATTTCACATACATGGCATACTTGGTGTTTCGGTCTTTATTCCGGGACACCAGGACCACCATCCCAGAGAATCTCCTCACTCCCCAGCCAAAAGATTATTACAGGTTGCAATAACTGCAGAGCTAAGAAGGGGTGTCTTCTGGTCCTCCAGAAGTCCCTCTTTTTGACTGAGAGGAGGCTGAAGACCACAGGCATTCACAGAACACCTAAATGTCTGGACCGGGTAAGAGGCATATTACCTGTGTCAAGAAGCCAGTTTCCGTGACTGACACAGGCTGCAAAGGGTGGCCAGTCCCAGATGGGCCAGTCTCTGGCTTGCTGTCTCAGTCCCTACATCTCAAGAAGAGACATCTCATTATGGAATCACCAGAAACCATCTCTGCGTTTTGTTCAGCCTCAAAAATGCAGAAGCTAGTTTAGCTGTGACACTAGTTGGATATATTTTAGGAAACCTTGATAATGCACAAAATCAAAAAAGGAGAGAAGCCTGGGGTTTGCCCAAGGTTACATTTAAACAAGAAATGTTCCAAAAAATGTGTCAGGAGCAGTGCTGAGCACACTGGTATACAGGAAACAAGGATAGATATGCTAAAGGAAATCCTGCTGGTATGGTATATTCTGAACTCTTCCTGATACCAGTCACACTTCATCTCCACACAAGGAGAGAGGCAGACAGAGGTGGTTTTATGCTACCTGAGCCCCCAGTATCCCCCTCTGCAGCCTCATTAGCCATTGCTTGAGGTTTTCCTGCAGGGCTATCATCAGCTTTTTGGATATTTCCTACCTCTGTAACCGGCACCTTAGAGATGTACTCGATTTGCAGTGATTGCATTCTCACTGTTTTCCTCTCCTGTGTCAAACAGGAGCTGGAGAGGTCGAGGGGGTCAGTCTCAGGGGCACTGCTGGGACCTGGTTACTCAGAGCAGCTCCCTGCAAGCCTCCCTGTGGGGCATTTTGTCCTGTTACCTACCTGTCAAGAACTTAACACCTGCTTTGTCCCAACCCCTTCCCCTCTCTTTCTGCAGTAATGGAAATCAATGAACTTATTCAGAAAAGACAACTCCTGGAAGCATTTGCAAGTATCAAGTTATTGGAAGATGAGACTATCTCTGAACGGAATGCTGGGAAATACAAAGATAACCCACAGGAGCTTTTACGGAAATCCAAGGATGTGAATTTCCTTTATAACTCCATCGCAAATGCTATCCAGTCCACAGTGGAGGGAACGCTAGAAGCTTCCACTATAGAGGAAACCATGCTGACTTCCATGGTGACTTTAATTGCCCATGAAGAAGCAGCTCATTGCAACACAGACAAAGTTGTTCATCCTGGGTCAGACTTGCTTGGCAGGCCCAGAAAGTGGAGGGACATGTGGAGGGAAGCAATCAACGAGAGTGCTAAAAAAAGAGTCCTGAAGGCACCCATGGTATCAAAGGAAGAAGATAGTTCTTGGCTTGATCTCCACTTAAATTTCCTCCAGAAACTCCTGAGGGAAGATTTACTGAAAATCAAGTTATCAGTAAAAAAGTGCTATCCCGAGGAGTACCAGGTGTGTGACACATATGTGGAGGCTTTTCATAAGGCCATTGCCTCACATTTGCAACACCTCTGCCAGAGACTGCTGGATTTCAATGAGCTCTACATCTTGCTCAAGTGGGTGGCCAACACCTACCACAGGTAAGGTGCTGTGCTTGTCACATTTCCTCTGTCTCCTCTGGAGAGCGGCAGGGCGGTGGGGTACTCCAAAAGCACTGAGCTGTTCTTAGTTTTCCAAGTGATCAGGAGAGACACAGTGACTTCTGCGGTAGAGCCAGACAGCAAGTCTGTTAATAGGTGGGGACAAAGTTTTGTGGATAAAGCACTTACTGGTTTTTAAAGATCTACCTCACCCCCTTTTTCCCCTCCCTGTCCCACTTGCTGTTCCCACAGGGCAGGAAGCTCCTCCTCGCAGCGCAGATAAACCTGCTCCTTTCTGCAGATATTTTGCAAGATCCAGCAGCTGCTCAGTGACTTTTCCAGGCACAGGGAGGGACCTGTGGGGGAGGTCTTTTTCCTGTTTAATTAAAGCTGTGATGCATTTGGCAATGGGCCACATTAACCCCCATGCATGGGGTCAGAGTTCTCTTGAGGAGGTGCCAAGACATCATCAAGTGGAATTTTTATCCACTTAAAAACAAAGGCTCTGTCTCAGATGTATGCTAGTTGAATGAGAGGTTTCTAGAACCCCTTCAGGCTCCTTGCAATTCAGGAGTGACTAAAATATTCTAGGAGCAGTAGGGACATAGTAAACACTATTCTCAGGGAACCCTGGGTATATGGGGGTACAGGCAGGAATTTTTTGTAAAAGCCATAAAAAGTGTGTTGCTTGTACAGCCAATGAAGACATCTTAGATAGGCACTCACAGAAGGTCCATGCATCAAGTGTCAGTGTCCTCAGTTATTTCCTGCCCTAGACCACAGCCCATCACCCCAGCCCCAAAGAGCTCCCAGACTAAAACTCAACAGAGATACACAGCGAGGTGGGAAGATGAGAAGCAACATTCACAGGAGACAGGTCTGGAAATAAGCATGTGAGAACAGTCATGTCAAAGCAAAATTCTGTCTGTCCCAGTAGCTGTACTCCAAGAATGGCTTGAACCAGATGCCCAAGGAAGGGACAAATGCAAAACAATTGACAGCCATCAAAATAAACCTCAAAAAACAACAAAGAGGGAGTGAAGACAGGAGTATCAGCATTAAGTCAAACACTGGGCAAAAATGATCAGGGAGGGAGGCAGTGGTGGAGCAGGGCAAGCAGCAGTACATGGTTTCCCAGAGCACCCCTAGTCTGAAGTAGCTTTTGGGTAAGAAACACTTGCACTGCCGGTAGTCTTTGTTTTGAGCAACCCTCAACATATTTCTTCCGTGAACTTGTCCAGTTACTCCTAAAACTCTATTTACAGTATGGTGACCATGATGATGTGTAACCCCCTCAGCATCATCAGGCCCTACTGATCTCATCTGGTGGGAAATTCCTGCATGTCCTCAGCCCCTGGGAACTGTACTGCACCCCAGCATTGCAGGAGAGAGAGGAAAGAAACAAACTTCAGCATCCGGGTTCTGCATGAAAGAAAAATGCCTCCCCCATATTTCTCTAACTAAGCTGTGAAAAAGATTATTAAGAGGTTACAGCTGTTTGGGGCACTGTTTGCAATCACCTTGATGGTTTGGGCTGTTTTAATTTAATTTAATTTCATTTAATTTCATTGCTCCTTGGAACCCATTCCAAAAAAGAAGAAATTATCTGACTGAAACTCATTATTGGTGTTACAATTCAAATTAATGAAAAAAAAAAAAAAAGAGTGGGGACTAAGCTCCTCAAGTATACACTTGAGACAGTCCTTTCAGTTGTGGTGGAGAGTCTGTATTTAGATCTGTGATGTCCTTTTGAATGAGCAACAGACTCTGGTAGCAGTGGGCTGTGCAATGCTCCACATGTGCAGATGTACCTCTCTGGGAAATCTAAACCGTGACTGTGGAACCATTGACTCCAGGAAACTATCAGTGAGCTGAGCTTATTTTCTGCTGAGCAGTCACTCTGCACCAGGCTGACCTTGTACAGTACAATCCTCACTTGGATCTGAACCTGACTGTGGGCACAGTGCTGGTTTGGCAATGGGAACCCTTTTTGGCTGAGCAAATGAGCAGGCTGTGTGTAGGACATCACAGCTGTGTTCCCTGGTAATCAGGTGACTGCTTGAAACTTAGGCCCTACCTTCATCAAGTGCATAAATATTTTCTTCTTTCCATTTTCCACCTTCATCACCCTGCAAGATGCAATGCCTCCACGGTCCGTGGCAGATTGCAAGAGCAGCACATTCAATTGTACAGGCTAATGACGTTTCTTGCCCTAGAGAGAGAAACACAGGCACTCCCTCCCTTTCCCTGCTTCCAGGCTAATCAGCTGGTCTGAGTACATGTCAGTCCAGAGGAAAGTGAGTGGTAATGGTAAAGTCGTGTGTCAGCTGAGCACACTTCGGAGTCAGACTCTGTAGCTGCACATCCACCCACCACTTCCATCTGCAGGGGAACATGGCTCGTATCCCAGGCATGAGAGTGCCTTCCAGGGGCTGCCCTGCATGGAACAGGTCCTGCTCTGCCGCCTTCCACCTTCCCTTGCTCCGGATAATGCACTGAGAGGAATAGCAGGCTGATAATGAGCCGTGATGTGACACGGGAGAGGAGCCAGGGGGATAGGCTAGTGACAAAGCAACAAGCTACTACAGGAATTACCCTGAAAGGTATTTTGCAGGCTCATAGTCGAATGAATCAGCTTCAGGTTGTTTATTTTAAAAAGTAAATTCTCACAGCACTTTTCGTGTCCAAACAACTCAGAAGTCTCATGATTTCTGAGGTGGGCTGGAACCTTACATCATTTTGGGTTTGAATAATTAGGATTGTGAATAGCAAGGAAAGATTTTCTTGTTAAATCTTGAAAACAGGCATCACAATTTAAGCTTTAAGTATATTTCTCATGGCTTAATAATTACGTAGTTCATGCGGCATGAATATTCCATCAGTTTATTCACACTCTGAGGCAATATAATTTGTTCATTTGAATCTTTCCAGTGAACTCTTTCTGGGTCACCCTGATCTGAAACCAGAGGTTAAGACAGAAAACCTGTCCCCACTGTTAACACCAGCTGACTGGGATAAACTGAAAAACAACTACATTGCTTCTGCAAAGGTAAGAGCTTTGACCTATTCCCCACATGCCCCCTCAGGGAAGGTACAGGAGCCCCAGCCTCCCTGGTACAGGTCTTGGATGACCGTGTTGTGGTTTCTAGCCCCACCAGCTGCTGAGTCCTGCCAGCACCACACAGAATGGCCTTTAATAAAAAACAAGAAGGTCTTGAACACCAACTCAGGGACCCAAGCTGAGCCAAAGGGACTGTACCAGACCCACACAGTGTGGCAGAAGCTTAATGAAAGGTTGTAGCTGGGCTTTATCAGATTGAATGCACTCCAAAGCCAGGTGTAAAGGCATTTTAGCTGCTACTGTCACTGTGTGGGATCTCCTCCAACACATCTGAGGTTTGCTACAGGCAGACAACTTTTGGCATCCCCACCAGAAGACACCCCCATGGTTCATGTCCTCTGAGGAAGCTCCTTCTGCAGTTGTTTTTCTGCAGTCCTTGCTGGCACCCTTTGTAAGACTACAAGCTTTCCTGGCTTTTTGCTGGGCTCAGTCATTTTCTTGCAAACCATTTCTGAAACAGGGCACTGATCAAGGTGAGCTCAAGGTGTCCAGCTGAATGAAATCAGTATTGCTCCACCATGCTAGTGAAAGATCACTGTTTCACCGGCAACAAGATTGATTTATCAGCCAGGACTGAACAGTGCTGCTGCTTACTTGAATGGCTGTACCTCTGGAGAGGACTGATTTGATCTTTAATCCTGACCTGGTGCATTCCATGTGCTGGAGGACTTTGTAATCAAGCAAACAGCTGACATACTATTTCCTGCCAGGAGAATGACTCTCCTTTGATATGAGAGTACCTTGCCCACACACAGCACAGCTCCTGATTTCTCCTGAGATCCTGTTTAGACTGACAGGACTGGAGCAACACCTGTGACTCTGCTTACCTTTCCATGCTGTGCACGTGAACCTTACACACATGACAATGGAGCAAAATGCAGTGAGCCTCTGTATTCATGTTTGCTTCCTTATCCTGAGCTGCATGTTTCCTTCCTACGTTTAACATTTAGGAGAATATCAAAAGTTATTTTGGAAACATCCTGAGACTAGAGGTCACAGAGAAGTGGGAGAAGGAAGTTCATTCAGAAGCGAAGGAAAACCTCTACCACGCCTCTCTCTCCTTTGATATTCAAACGGTATTTAATTAGCTGGGGTGATGTTGGGGGGGGCTCTGTGGCTCCAGGGAAACTGGATCGCTACCTTCTGGGGTGGAGGTACCGCCTCCTGCCTTAATTTATGTAAGTCATGCACTGGCAGAATACATTAGAGCAGAAAATGACATTTATTACAACTTCTGGCTCTCCCGCTTGCCTTCTAGCTGCAAATTAAACCTGCTGTCAATTGTGTCAGCAACATAATAGGCAACTGATTTTAAAGTCCCTAAGCCTCTTTGATTAGAAAGAAGAAAGAGAAAGAGAAAAAAAGATGGAAAGAAAAGGTTTGTTAGAAAAAAACCTCTTGGCTTAAAGAACAACTTTGTCCCGGGGCTGTGGAAGCTGTGGAAAGGCTGTAGGCAGTAACAGCCACTCCAATTTAAACAGTACAAAAAACAAAAGCTCCTACTAGGTTTAGGGGCTACAGAGTAATAAATCCAGGAGGGGTTTGGATTCATTCTCCTCACTCAATTGGTTGAGTCACTTCAATTAAATAATACTAACAAAAAAGAGAGGGAGAAAAAAAGAAAATCAAAGAGTTTTGCCTGCTACCATGACTATTTTTCCTTAGAGAAATATTACACATTATGTGATCATGGGGAAGGGAGGTCTGAATTGGATTAGCAGATGGATAGGAGGCCTTGGGAAGCACCAGAATGGGACTGCAGCATGCTTCACTCTGGAGGTGCAGCCAGGACTGTGGGAATGGGAATCCAGGAGGAGTCCCAGTGCAAACAAGGTTTCAGGGTGGTGCCTGACCCTCTGTGCTACCCTGTTGTCACTCCTGAGAATGGGACTTGTGTGGGCCTCCAGGGATGGGGCTTATAGTCATCCTTTTCGTGGGGTCATGCATGGGAACCGCTCAGCTTCCCTTGGGCTTTGGGTTGCTGACTGATCCCTCCCACAAACCCTCCAAAAGAAGAGGATGACACTGGGTGAGGTCGGAGCTCTGGCCAACACCGCCTCTAACTCACACTCAGACAGCAAAAGGACATGAAGCCATTAGGGATGAATGACTATATCACAAATCAATCAGTGCTTCTTGGCCCATTCTGCATTATAATTTTTAAAACTGCCAGAGAATAATGAAAATCTCCTGGCAACAAGTTGGCTGTTTGCCCCTTTGCTAGGCGAACCATCCTTACTAACCAAAGCTGCATGAGATCCTTGGGAAGGATGCTTCTCCCATATCTGTCCCATTCACTGGAGCTTTTTTGTGCCCTTTTCTAGATCATCGGGGAGCACATGAAGTTATCTGGAACTATTAGCAGAAGCCTGGAAACAAAAATGCTTGAGCTGTGCATGACAGAGCTGCTTGAATTCATACCAAGGTCTTACCACTCCTGACAATACTTTCTTTTCAAATGAGTCTCACACTGGTAAAAACACAGGGAAAAGGTCTGTGCACTGGACCACATGCTGGCATCAAGCAGGTATAGGTCTGCTCTTGGGAGAATTAAAGATTACAGTGAGCCGAATAACAAGCAAGCTGCAGAACTGCCTGGAGGGGGTCATAAACACACCCAGAGAGGACTCTTGCAAGTCCCAGAATCTAATGCCAGAGCTCCAGGAAGGAGCTGCTGTCTGGGAAGGGATGGTACCACTGTGATCACATCCATCCAGGACCTTTGTGCATTGGATGCTGGTCACTCACAGCTTCAGCCATGAGCAAGCAGCAATTATGGACCCCTCAGACCCAAAGCCTGCTTGCCCAAAACATCATCTGGGTGTCCTAGGGTGAGTCCTGCTGAGAGGGTTTTCTCTGACCTCCCATATCTTTGGGCATAAAAATGGATGGTGAGACCCTCTCTGCTACACCTGGGCAAAACATACAGCTGGGTTGCCTTCTGAGTCTCTTTGAAATTCACCCAGTTCCCAAGGGAGATTGCTGAAATAATGTTTTTTTGTTTGGTAGTCTCCACGTTATGGCCTCAGATCTTACCCGCTGCAACATGCTTTGGAAATGCTCCAGGGAAGGTTTTAGGCTTGCAGAGGGTCCCAGCACAGTGACACATTGTCTGATCCCTCTGTCAGGGCTGTATTTGGGATGTCCATGGATGTTTGCTGGAGCTGCAATCTGCAGAGGAGAAAGGCTGTTTGACATGAATCAACTATGAGCAAGGCTAAAAATAATTTTGCATTAACCTTTGAAGTTTCCCACCTCCGGCAGGCACCAAGTGTGGAGTTTGCTAATGCAGGAGCATGGGTGGGGAGCCTGAGCACTGCTTTCTCCCATCATGAACCTGGGGCATGGCAGGAGTCCAAACTGCACTAAAAACAGCACTTTCCCTTCTAAACCCTCATCTCTAGTAGCCCAGTGATCTATGTTTCTCTCCCATGCCCTGAGTGAGCAGGGTAGTTCAAACCAGCTATTTGGCTTTGAAGTCTGCCTAAGTTTTTGAGGAGAAACAAGGCAGTGATGTTCTGGCCTTTTCTTTCCCTCATTTTTCTTATTTTTCTCTTTTATTTCTTTTTTCTTTGTTCTTCTTTTCCCCTTTCTTTGTTCTCTTTTTTAATTATTTTTTCTTTTATTTTTTCCTTTTATTTTTTATTGGGTTTTTTATTCTTTTTTTTAAATGCTGTACAATCCAAACCAGGGCAACAACAGCTCTCAGATTAAAGGACCACTGAAATTTAAGCTTTTATGGAAACAAACCTGAGATATAAGTGCCTGAGGCCAGCCTAAGCAGATCCCTTTACCCTGACAAAGAATGGGACCATCAAACAAAGCCTTCCTGAGCACACAGCTTCCTGTCATCAGCACAGACTTGTCTGTAAAACACCTGTGAAACCCATAGAACCTGTGCTACACAAAAAAAACCCTACTTGACACTGAGGTTAGGGGGAAGAAAAGTCGGATGTGCTGCCCTGTTCCTATTCACCTTCTGTTTTAAAATCAGCCCTCAGGTAAATCCTTCGCCTGTGTTGTGCTTAAGAAGGCACACAATATATTGTCCCAAAAGCCAGTAAGATGAAGGTCCAGACTTACAAGCCTGAGTACCACAGCTGCAATTAAATCCTCAGCATGAGGAAAAGTAAGAGTTGGCCTGCCCACATCCCTGGCATCTCTCCAAAAGTGCTCCATGCCTGCTCAGGCGAGCGCATCCTAAACCTGTAATTATCTGCCATCTATTTTCCTCCAATGCACACACATGTTGTGACAGCTGGAAAAAACACGTCTGCATACAGAGGGGACAGGTTGGGCCAGCCATGGGTGTCTCCTGACATCACCACATACACAGAAGATAAGCTATCCTCAGTCCCCCCACCATTAAGTGTTACCTGAGTGTCTTTTCTTACAGGTTTGAGAAGGAGTTTGAGAAGGCCTGGAGCACTGCCCAGGACAGCCCCATCTTTGCACCCTGTGTTGTTGCCTACATCAACAGCTTCCACGACCTAATGTAAGCCCGCTCCCCCTGAGCTGAGATGCCATATTTTTGGGGTCTGGGAGGGTAACAGCATCTGTAAAGGAAAGATCAAGGTCTCCTTGGGGTGCCCCGCTGGGTGCTCAGTCTCCTGCCCTTCTAACCTCACAGGAGGATTTTCACCAAGGGATGCAGATAAAAGTCACAAGCATGAAGAGACAGAAACATGAACAGATGCAGTGCTTGCATGGAAGTTTTAAACTCATTTTCAGTCTCAGAGGAGGGGGTTTTCCACGTTTTCTTCTGGAGGTTAGCAGTATAAACCCAGAAACACAGTCTCAAGCCTGCCTTTGGCACTGGGCTGGAGGAAACTCTATGAAAGCACTGAACCTGAAAATAAACCCCTGCCATTGCATCTGGCAGCTGGAAATTCCAGGGCTTTGCATGAATTAGCTATTTCAAGCCATGTGTCAAAAAGTGCCTCTGATGAACAGGTATCATCAGTGCTGACTGTCAGAGATCTGACTATCCCTCTCCCCATAAGTAGGATGGTGCCAGTGAGCACATGTCCCAGGGTCTGGTCCCTCAGCCCAGTGCTGTGGCACATGATGACTTTGCACATCCCACTCTGCAGCCTCTCACACAGCTGCCACAGCCCCTCCCAGTGCCAGTTCCACGGAATACTGGTGCTGTTCATACACTTGCCCCAGGGGGATGGTCTGCAGCCATGCAGGGACATTACCCACCAAGGCCCAGGGGCTCTTCAGCATCTGGAGTCATCTCTGCCATGCAGATATGGTGCTTCAGAGGCCAACCCAGCAAAACAGCACAGGAATAATGTGTGGGCTCTGGTCACCAAAAAGCTTGGGTTGTGATCTCCAGCTCATGTTGCTGCACTGCTGCCTGGCACTGCCTCCTGTGAGGATGCTATATGCCAAATATTACTGAGGGGATGGAGAGGATTTCGCGTTCGGTGTCTCGCAGGAGCCGACGGCTCCAGCCGCAATGAGCACTACCGTAGGGAAGTCTCTAGATGGCACGGTCTCTCCAGCAATGCTAACCTCGCCGAGGAGCTGGCTTTCACTGCCTCCTCCTGACCCTGCGGAAAATTGCTCTTCCCTTCCCTGCTGGAGACTGGCGAGGGGGTGAAAGGAGACGACAGCTCCAGGCGGGGAGCCGGCAGCGTTTGGGTGGCGGATTGGCTCTGCTGGGTTTATTCCTGAGTCAAGCTGTCTATTCATCAGCCTGGGGTGATGAGTGCTGGGCAGAGCTAGGTGACCTAACGGCATGATTTTTTACATGCTGGACCCAGAATTCAACGGGAGTTGCAGCCCTGAGCTCCAGCCTGGCATGACAGGGATGCTGTTGACTGCTCTATAGTCCTGCCTGGGCAACCTCAGACGTATAAAGTCTGGGCAGAGGCAGGAACCTACCGCTCTCCGTGGTCACAGCAGCGGATATGGCACATCCATGGAAGCTCGGGCACTACTGGTGTTGCCTTGCTTCCTCAGTTCCCCCACCCCCCACACCCCCAAAGGGTGTTACAGTGGGATGGGAATGGAAAGTGAGAAGAAAGACAGGAGCTCACAATGCCCCCAAAGCTCACACACACACAGGGGATTCCCTTAACCTCTCAGAAGTTGGGTTTTCTTCCTCATGGGGTGAAACCTTGCAGAAGTATGCACTGTCCTTTGGAAATTCCACAGGTTTCCATACCCATAGTCCCCATCCTAGCTGCTGATGATAGACATTGCGTGGAGTGACTCAGATGGGCTCTGGGGGACACAGGATCAGCAACTTTCCCTTCTCTGTCTTCATTATTTACTTCTTTCTTCACCTACGGCCCCTCAGTGCTCTCCCAGGTACTTGCAGACCTTCTAGCAGAGGTGTTGCTCAAGTGAAAGAGCAACCAGCCTATGCAACTGCTCCACATGGCTGCACCATCCCACCTGATGAGGAAATCTGTGGGGTTTTTAAGCACAGTCACAGCTGTGACTCATTTTCAGTGCACAGGATTGTGCAAAAGGAGCCATTACTTTGACCCATGAAGTGTTTCCAAGAGGAAGTACTACAAACAAAAGTTTATTTAAATATAATATCCAACATGCCAATCCAGATAAAATGCTTAGGACACTGTAATAGTTTACATTTTAACATCAACTCACTGGTGTTCTCCCTCTCTCTCTCTCAATCTCTCTCTCTCTCTCTCTCTCTCTAGGTCAGGGTTAGAAACACAGTTTAAAGTCAACACTGTGGAACTGCAGAAGATTTTGGCAGCTCTGACAAGTAACTTCACAAATATTTTTCTAACGAAATTAAAAACAAAAGCACAGGTAAGAGGACCTCGGCCGTGTTATTTCCTCAGTGTAAGGGGTATGTGCAGGACCACTGCAGAAGCTGAGAGCCATTGTCCTTCCCTTGTCTCACCAACTAGATCTCATTTTGCAGCGCATGACATTATGGTCCCTCCAAAATGCATCAAGCCTAACACTCCTGTAGAAATCCTCCTTAATTCAAAGCAACACTTCCGGCATCCTGGGAGTTTTTTGCTTTGAGCAAGGATACCTTTGTCAAGCTGTTTACAATGATCAAAAGAAAAGGATATTTAGTGGCTTCCAGTATCTCAGGCAAAGCAGTAGGGAAAAACCTTACCCATAATGAGGCACAGAGGAAGTCAGCTGAACACCACCAATGAGACATTTTTTCTTCTACTAAAAAGTTTGGATTTCTCAGGACTTTGATTTATTCTTACTGATTCATTGATCTGCCACCATGGTCTGTAAGCAGCCTCTTCAGATAGGACAGAATTAATTCTGGTAGAGGTGATTTTTCCAGGCTGTTCCCATGGTGAAGAAAGGTTGATTTTTCCAGCATGAGGATGCTAAAGCTCTGGTATCAGCTGATAAAGCTCTGATATCAGCTTAACTTGTGTTGAGGCCTAAAATGCAATGCAATGCAATGCAATGTGCTACAATGAAGTTTGTGCTGCCCAGGTGCTGTAGGTGGGACTTTCTGGTCTCAGCCAGCTGGGGTCCACTAGCTCTATCTGGTATAATACAAGAGATGAGGCAAATCAAGCCTTTGGTCACATCCTTTTTCACTCAACCTCATTCTCTTTCTAAATCCCCAAACATAACTTTCAAAAACCAAGGCAGTCATGGGAACTGATGCAACCTAAGCCAAGCCTGCCTGGCCAAGGGGACTTTCCAGTGACTGTAGATCTTGTCTTGGAGCCTAAGTGACAGGCAAGGAAAGGAGTCAAGCCAAGGCATTGAGCAAGAGACCCGAAATGTGAGAACTGAGAGAGGCTGAGGCAAAGCATTTCTAAACAGCTCTTTTGGCACTTTGTGCCATGGTCTGGTAGCCACGGCAGTGTTGGATCAAGAGTTGGACTTGATGCTCTTGTAGGTCTTTTCCAACCCGGCTGATTCTATGATTCTATGATTCAGCATGCTGGGAGCATAGCAGGAGAGCACAAGGAGGGGGAAATAATTGGGAAGGAGATTGCCAGGAGTCTAAAGCCAGAGATCCCGAGAGCTAAGAGGAGAAAAGTACAAAGGGGATGTGCCAGAGAAGGGATATTTTGCATTTGGCCCTCAGGGGAGTTTCTTCCTGAAGTCTTTAGCAGATATTGCTGTGTTTCTGTGTGAAGTCACATTAAGTCTAGGGACCCAGCAAGGACAATAACCCACTGAGAACACTTGGTCAGAGTACCTTGAACCCAGGACTGATGTGAGACAGTGCCATAACTCCCATGTCATCACTGATCACGAGGTATCAAGCTGGAGATGCTCCCAGCTGCTATTCCCCTCCCATCACATTAGACCAATGAGCAGAAGGAAAACCCAGTGAGACTTCATGTAGGTCTGCAGGAGTACAGATAGCCTCCTGGAAGGGCTGTGAACATAAGGAACTTGATTTCCTTGTGGACAAGGCTGTAGGGGTGATGGATTACTGGGCTAATTTCCAACAGATTCACTCCCAAGTGACCTGTCATTTCCACAGCTGGTGCAAAACCAAGTAACACTAACATACACAACTGCACACCACAGCTTGTTCTAGTCATACCTGAGTTTTCTGTGATTAACATTCACATCTATTTCTTCACCTATGCAGTAGGGATACAAATTCATCTACCCAAAGAAATAGAGCTGGTGGATCAGAAGGTGGCACAGAGAAAAGAAATGAGGTATCTCAAGTAAGCCTTTAATGCCAAAACATTTGCTCAGGGAGTGATGCTTCTCCTCTCTGCACTGGCATGCCTACCCAGAAAGGGGAGACAGGCTTCTGAATTCGCTGGGGTGGAGAGAGAAACTCACCCTGCTCTGTGCTCTGGGTGTGCCTTCACACAAAGGGAGTGTGCCATCAGTGCTCTGTGATTTTTGTCTCAAGCCAGTAAGTGTACAGCTGAGTGCCTTCGGCTAGGGCATCAGCTAGTCTGAATGTTACCAGTCCCATCAGTGAGCTGGTCTTTTTTCAGCCATTCCTTAAGAAAATCCTGACCAAGGACTGGATTTTGGATACAGGAAGGCCGGACTCACTGGCGTCAGCAGTCTCACAGTTCTCCGAGCACCTGCAGCACATGAGGAAGCCCACGGGTCAGGTAGGCCACTGATCCCACACCTGGGCACAGCGATGCTGGGGAGGGGGGTCACAATGTCATTTTCAGGCTGTGGTCAGACCTGCAGACTCCTCTGCAGTGGTGGTTGCTCTTTATAACTGTGGGAACTGCAGATGCAAAGGAGTTCAGATATTACCGTACTTCCACATGTGAATTAAAGAACAACTTTCCTTCCTGTAGTTCAAATACAAAAACTGATTTTGTTTAAAGAGGAACAGAAAGCTTTGATGATAACTGCCTCTGAACATTGCAATTCCATGAGTTGCAGGCTTACGTGCTCCTTTCACATCTACGCAGTTGTGAAATAAAGAGATAGGTGACAGCTGCTCTATATTTAAAATCTGCAAGCACCATTAAAACTGGCTTTTAAAACAATCCAAAATATCCCCCTTTGCTACTGAGAACCCAAACTACCAACACAAAATTGTGGGCTGTTTCAGGATGAGGAGTATTTCCGTGGCATTCCCTTGGGTGCAGCCACTGCTCTGTGCCAGAGCAAGGGACGGTAAGCAGCCACTGATTCCTTTCATAAGGGCCGACCTGGGCAGCATGTGCTGATGGTGTGTTGCCTTCACGTCCCTCCTCTATGTCCTCAGGTGCTGCTAAAGACCTAAGAACTTTCCCTGCACTCTTTCACTGCCTTGGCCTTGTATGGGAACCACAGAAAAACCATGATGTTTGTTTTTTTTATCCAGGAGCTTCTACGTGAAGTTCATAAATATGTGGTAAAGGAATATATCACACAGGTCATCAAACACAGATGGAGAATGAACAGGGAGACACGGCAAGAAGTGAGCAAAAAGATGGACCAGGAAGCCAGAATCTTTCATAATACTCTCATTGATCAGGTATGTGAGTTCTCTCCTGGCCCATTCCCAGAGGTACAATATTTCCACTTGGCTTCCCAGAGACAAAGGCAGCAGGCTTCTGAGGAGGCCAAGCCTCAAGAAGTATAGAAGTCCTTAAAAGAGAGCAAGTGAGGTTGTTACTGCAGGTTAATGGTGTGGGCTTCCAGCCCACCAGCCTCTCTGCAGTGGCAGCTTTGCGTGTTTTGTGGCTAGGCCAATGTTACAACCCATCCATGAAGGTGATGTAACTGAGGTTCTTGTTAACAGATCCCTTGGGGTAGATTAGAGTGAAACAACACTGAATCACCAGTGTTTATAAATATATATACATATATGGCAGGTTTATTTTAGAACAATTTGATTGCAATGGAAATGAGGGATGTAGCCATTTTGGTTATTGTCTATAGTAATATAACAAGATAAAGGTATAAAAATATCGCTTAAGAAAATATATAAAGGAAAGGAAGAAAGAGAAAGAAAGCATTAGAGTAGATAGTGGAGAGGAAAGATATCACCACCCATGGATCCAGTGACGAGGCTTGATTGTCACAGTTTAGATGCCTGTTGGTCGAAGTGATGGTCACAGTCTTGATCCATTTGAGGTGGGAGAAGGCTGCAATGGGTTTAATGGATTCAGGTGGGAATGCCCAGGTACCTCCCAGCAGGGGATTGCAGGGGGCAGGAGTTTCTCACTGTCTGATATAACGCTGTGGATAATATGCAGTCTTCTATTGGAAGAACCCAGAAATGAGTCTGGAGGAGCTTCGGGGTCTTTGATGGTTCATGACCCCTTCTAAAACACGACTGCTCTTTCTCACAGCTGTGTAGTCAAGCCAGTTATGCCTTATCAGAAGAGATACATGTGAACGTCCCAATACCTCCCCATGAAGGGGGAGTTTTATACATGAACCAGCTGTGTAAAGAAGGAAATTGGCATGATAAAAAAAACATTATTCCACCTCGCAGGATCTGCTTCCTGTTGGCTTTTTCCTTATCTGGTTCAAAAACCACCTTGTTGCTTAAAAGAAGGTTAGTTTGTCACCGTCACCCTCCAGTGGTGGGTGCTCACGCGCTCTGCACCTGGGCTGTTCTTACACAGATCAGAGGTTTTCCCACCACACACCCAAAAACTGGGTGCAAACCTGGCCTCGGCAAAGCAGTACCCTGCCACTTTTGAAAATGGCTGATTATTTGAGTCATTAACTTTAACATTTCAGTCTCTCACAGCAACATCAGTCTGTGATTTTCAGGGAAGCCAAAGTTGAATTAATTGGATTTTGCAGAAAGGCAGGCATCCAGGGCACTAAATCCCCTCTCAAAAATAAGGCACATGAAATTATTAGGCAGCAGGAGGTAAAGTCTGGCATATGCCTGTGTGCTAGACCACAGCCACAGTGCCTGACCAGGGTCTGACTCCTGGGATGCTCATGAGCACCAGGAAGGGCAGAGTCCAGTGTCAGGGGAACTCCTTGTTGGCACCTTGTTGCCTGCTGGAGGCAGCCTGTCCTGCCTGCAGCAGTCCTGCCTCACACCCAGCTCTGCATTGTAGGGGAAAAGGCATTTAGCAGGTGCTGCTCTCCCCCTTGACATCCCTATGCGCCTCTTCATCCACAGGGCTCTGACTCCCACTGGCTTGTTCCCGCCATACACTACATTGCCAAGATCATTAAAGAGAAGAAAAAGGACAAGATCAAGGTGTATGTCAAGAAGCTGTGTCAGAATTATCCAGATATCAGGTACACAAAACAACAGATGCCAGAACTGTTGGGCTCCATCCCGAGCTCTTCATCTTGTTGTTGGTAGCCATATTTTAGAGGTCAGGGTGCCAGCAACAGTGGGAATCCCATCTTCTTTTTCTCTCTTTATGTCTGTATACTTCCTCTTTTTTTCCCCCTGTCTGCTAGATCTTACGATGCACACAAATTAACTTCAAGGCCTTTTCATTTTAGAATGGAATGGAATAGAATAGAACAGACTATTTCAGTCTATTAGGAAGGGACCTACTACAGTCATCTAGTCCAGCTGCCTGACCACTTTGAGACTGACCAAAAGTTAATGCAAGCTATTAAGGGCATTGCCCAAATGCCTCTTAAACACTGACAGGCTTGGGACATCAAACACTTCTCTAGGAAGCCTGTTCCATTGTTGGACATTCCTCTTAGTAAAGAAATGCTTCCTAATGTCAAGTCTAGAACTCCCCTGACACAGCTTTCAACCATTCCCATGCATCCTATCACTGAATTCTATTTTTTTGCTCCAAATGAACCTTGTTTCACAGTAAAGCTCTGGTTTGATTTCAGTGCATCACCAGTATCAGCCCAGTTTGCCGATTTGTAGGCTCCAGATTTGAAGCAAATACTTTGTCTCCTCTTCCAAGGCTCAGACCTCAAAGTGAGGCAGCCATTGATGGAGATCAGCTGTGGTTTCTGAAATGACCTCAACACAACCATTAAATTTTGGAATACATTACATATTCTTTCTTTTATACTTTCCGTTTGCTGTTCCAAAGCTGCATCTGAAAAATTTAAAACTACTGCGAAAGTAAACAAAGTGACTGGCTCTGTGCATGGCTAAACAGTTGCAATCAGAAGTTACCTCCTCTTTTACAGCTCTTCTACCAACAACTGAGAATGAATATCAGTAGTACAGACTGCAGAAAACTCCATTTCATCAGAGTAATTTCAGGAAAAAAACCCAAAGGTTTTTGTACAGGGTTACACAGTTTCTGATGGATGACATTTATACAGTCAAAACAAACCATAAATTTAACTAATTGCTCAGAACACTGAAGTGGACCCTCAAATACTGAGAAAAAAAAATCACATTAAATCTGTTTTCCTTTCCCCATAGCTGCAGCTCAAAATTTTTCGTAACTAGATTTAACTTTACTGGGTCAGATATGCTTCAGGCTTATCTGTGTGGGGAAATTCAAGACATGGACATGAAAAAATTGTTCCTGAGTAATTTCCTAGGTGAACACACCTACTTAAAAAAAAAAAAAAAGGTTTAATCTCAGTGGCCAGATTAAGCTGACGAAGGAGGCAGTGCCTGTTCTGGGAAGGATGGGGGAGGTAAATTATGCCTAGTCATCAATGATGGTTATTTGAAAACAATTTTCCACTCAGAAAAGCCATTTACAAGGCTGTAATTTGTGGTACTTTTTCATCATTAGGCTCAGACCCAAGCCAGGTTTTAAGGCTCGTCCTCTTGATTTATCTAATTATTGACTTTCCATTATTGAGTAATACTATTTTTAACAATCAAGTTTGGAAAACGGGGTGGAACCTGCTGGACCTGCATTGCTTCCTGTTCAGGTCTCTTAATTCTTCCCCTGAGCTCTCAGAGACGTTGAGGAGTTTGTATATACTGAGATTACTGGAACAGGGTATGTTTCCAAGTTGGCTTCCCAGCTCTAATCTAATTGGTGCCTGTCAACTTCCTAAATATTAGCACTTCCATTACTCAATTCAAAATAACCATTAAACAAAAGGTCTGCAGCCTCTCAGGAAAACTTGAAATAGGCATCACGTGTGTGTGGAGACAGAGGAGGAAATTCCCTGAAGCACCAGCCAGCAGGAGGGCGTCCCATCAGCACAGTGTGGCAGGAGCTGATGTTCTCTGGCTTGATACCTCCAGAGGCTGGAGACCCAACTCCTGGTGGCTCCTCCAGCGTGGTGAGGGGACGGTCCCTGGCACTTTGCTATGTCCTTGTTCCATCTCCTGCATGGTTGTTGGTTGTTACCTTTTGGGCTGCTTTTGCCTGCCAGGTCTGAGCGAGGTCATGTTTGGTTTTTCAGGAAGGACCACATCCTGGCCATCCTCGCGCGCCGGGGGCTGGGGCGCAACAGGAGAGCGGCAATTCTTCGTCAAGTCTGCCATGTGCTGGAAAGCTCCAGTGGAGGAGAGGGCAACACGCTCTTTGCTGAAATTGATGTTCCGATGGTCATATGCTGCTTCTAAAACAGAACCAGAACAGCAGTCAGCATCCTCCCGCCTCCTACGCTGCCTCTACACATGATCCAAAATCTGCTACCCTCCCTTGCTCCTCTGCAAACCCAAATATTTTATTGCCATGGAGAAAGAAGCAGTTTTCTGAACTTGCTACCCTGAGTTCAGAACCCAAAGGCAACAGAGGCACTGAGACACCAACCTCCTGCAAGAGCCCCTGGGAAGCAGCTCCAGTTCAGACACTGTGTCTGCCTCGTGTTCCATACAGATCCTATTGCTGGGAGGCTGCTCTGTTGTTTGGTCCAAAATTAAATTTCTCTTCATAGACAACCAAAAGCAGTTCACTCAGAGCTATATTAAGGCTCGGACTGTGTTTTGCATAATTATACATCAGCAGAGCAAGAGCCTCCTTTGTAATTAGCACCCATGAGCAATCGAGGGGTACAGTTTGGGCAGGGATGTGGTTGCACTCAAGTCTTATTTCCTCCACTGTGAACCAGCTGGCTAAGCTAGCATGATGCAAGGTGGTGACGTTGTGACCTGATGCCAAAAATCACTACCTGCCTGAGGAGGAAAACTTTGGGTAACCAAAGCCCACGGGTGGGACATGTAGCACATGAACTACTCTGCCCTCCTGAATGGCCCTGGAGGCCCTTCAGGCATTTCAGCAGATTTTTCTCATTCAGGCATTTCAGCAGATTTTTCTCACTCATGGGCTTGGGAAACTCCTGTTGGACCGACGATCTGTTCATGCCATCATAGCCTCTCTGTGTGGACAGGCATGTCTGGATCAGATGTGCCATGTGGAGTGAAGCTCCAAGTTCTCCTTGACCTGAGGAAAAGGGTCATCATGCCTCTAGTCCATTTTCTTGTATGTTTAAACGTATTTTAATAAATCTGGTACAATCTGACTGCAGTATGAAACCAAATGTGAGGTGGACAGACATAGTGCTACAGATCTGATCCTCATCTGGTGTAACCCAGCATCACCCCATTGATGGGCATGGAACACCATTGGTTTAACACCACGAGGGATCCAAAGCATCACATCCAGCATCTGCAGGGGAGACTAAAAGAGACATCCAGCAGCCTAGAGATGTACAAATCTGATTTTATTTAATTCAATTTATCCTTAGGTTGCCCTCCACACCAATAAATCTGAGACTTTACAGAGATGTGTTTATGATCTATCAATTAATCTGATAAATGTGGACATGGCATAGCCTTGAACACTAATTTGTCTACAGCAGAGCTTACAGTACCAGCAGTGAGACTTTCATTTCCTTTGCTTCGGGTTGCACCAGTATAAATTTCAGCCTGGGTGAGCAGCAGGCACTGGTGACAGGCCAAGGGAGCTGTTTTGATGGATGAGAAATAAAGAGTGCACCTTTCATTCACAATCATCCTATGAGAATTTTTCTGAGATAAACCTGCTACCTTCACAGTAAAGGTGGTTTTGAAATATCAGGTACAGATTGACAGCTTGAGACAGAAAATCCTGGAAGGAATTTTCTGCCCTGCATCTTTCTTCAATACAGCTCATGACAATTCCTGCAAATCCTCATCTTGGTTACTCTCTGTATTTACTATGGAGAAGGAGAAGTAAAATATCATATGCATCTCCCATTGGATGTGCAGAGCTCAGGAACCCTTTGGAGGTCCCCTTTCCTGTCCTGGGCTCATGGTGAATCAGGGAGTATTGGATTACACCCCTCATGGATCTGTGAGCTATATTCCCCATCCCAGCAGAAGGGAAGGACACTAGTGCTGAGAGATTAACATTTATTGTTAAAAGCATTGACTTAATGGCAGAAACAAAAAGATTTCTACTTTTATATACTCAGTCAGAGACTTCCAAGACTGCAACTTCAGTGGAGTGCAGGATTTGAAGCACTAAAGCCTCAGTGGGAGTTTTTGTGCATCAGAAATTTCCCTCTCTCCTGTATGCATCTCTCATCCAAGCACCTAACACAAGGCATCTGTGGCACAGACATTTTCCCAAGTGCATTATTTAAATGTATACTGGGTTTTCAATCTTATTATTTGACTGGCAAATGCTTCACAAAGCCTTTCCTCAGCCTCCAGATGCCTGGCCCTGGGATTAGATATGGAGCTCGGTTTCCGTTTTCTAATAAAAGCAAGTTGCTACCCTGGAGTCATGGAGGAAAGCTGGGCACAATGGCCTGCCTTTTGTCACAGCCTCTCCTGGGACACTCAGATCCTGCAGCCTGGCATTCTGTAAGCCAGTGACAGGCACAGAGCTGGCTTCCTCCAGGCTGCTGCTCTCCAGCTGCCTGCTCTTGAGCAAACCAGTTTAACCCCATTATGACAAGACTATGGTTCAGTCCCTGTTCTGCCCCAACAGCTGTCCAAGTGGAGAGGGAGATCCAGGATGGGTGAGAAGCAGGGGTCTCCCTAGGCAGGGGGGTGCTTGGTCTGGGCTGCAGCACAGACCCTGGAGCCAGTTAAACAAGGAGAGAAGGACTGTGTGCTTTCCAAAATGAGCTGCTGCTGTCCAGCTGTCTTCTGTAAAACATCCAGCGTTCATTACGCCACATCTCACATTCCAAAAACAAGAGAAGAAAGGCCTCTCAGGGCTTTTAAATGTGAAATATGTTGCTCTCGTAGGAAGGTGCCAAGGATCTCAATTATTATCACCCTATTACCTCCTCCTGCTTGTTGTTTCTCAGTGAAGAAAAACACCATCATACCCATTCCTACCCCAGCACACAGTTACATTCCCTCCAGGACACAGAGCTCACTTTTATCCCCAAAGACCCAAGCTACATTATGCAGATGCATCCTCTGGTGAATCAAGCTGTCTCAAAAGTATCCAACTAAATGGAAGAACCAAACTCTCTCCAGATTTAGCTTCTCAGGGGTGAACAATGCATTTTTTTGGGGGGGGGAGGGATGTGCAGATTTGGCACAGCTGACAGTATTGTGTGGGTGGTGAAAGATATTTTTTTTGTTTCAGAGGTCTCTGCTGTTTCACAATACTGTATGTTTCTGGTTTGGGGTGAAAAGCAAGGGAACAGTGCCTGCAGTCAGAGTACATGGGCTGGTATTTACCATCTGAGACCAGCCTTTGGGTACCATTTTGCTCCGTGAAGTTGTCCTTTCCTGGTAGGAAGATATGGAAAACACGCTCACAAAGCAAGAAAGGAGGAGTACCAAAACATTGCAGTGAATGCCCAGGAGGCTGTCCCTGAGCTGAGGCTCCTAATCAATCAGTCAAAATACTCCTGAAAAAAGTCTTTTAGTGCAGCTGCACTATAATGTTTAGCTCCCTGTCATGGTATCTTTCAGAAATGAGCCCTCAATTGGGTGAAAATATTAAAGACGATCAGTGAGAAGCAGATTGCAATATTCTGTCCACTTCATGAGCTGGGCGATGTGGCCTGACACTACCCAGCACACACAGCTGGGATGAAAAGAGGTGCCAGAGCGTTATTATCTCAGGGATGGCTGAAAAGTAAAGTTGTATTAGTTTTAGGTTTAGCAACTTTGGTGATTATATATCACAATTCTCCAAAGTACTGATGTTTAGCGAACACTCATCTTCTGTATTTTGCATCTTTCTCCATGAAATCTTGTTGTGGTGTGATTTACTGCCCCAAAGCCAGTCATTTTCATTCTCTTAGTACTGGGTAGATACAGGAGTGCTCTGCTCAGTATCACTGTCCGTTTCCATCCCTTCAGGACAATTTTATGTAATACCGCTAATGATGACACGACATTAGCACTGGGACTGGTCCACCTCTCCCGTAAAACCTGTGCAAGAGATCAGTCAGGCTGACAGAGCACTGATTTAAACTATTTACTATCACTGTTACAATAAAAGACCAGTATTGGGAAAAGGTTAAGACTGATGTACATTATTATGTGGCAAAAGTGGATTAAGATAACCTTTACAAAACTACAAGAATTTTCTCTAGTCCCACAGCCACATAACTGTCTCCTGTCTGAGGATACTGAGCACATAAACTCTGTCTTCCTGTCTTCATCCCTGTCACACAGAGCACTGCAAATAGCCTCTAACACTCTTTCAATGTAGCATTCTCCATTTATATCCGTAAATTCATACCAAGTCATTCAAATATGTTATCCAGAAAAGAAGTAGCATGTAAGGGAGAGAAACCTCTGAAAAAAAGGCTGTTGTAGTATTTTTGCCATCTTGATACTACTTGAGAGTCTTGAAATGTCAGTGTAGGGCTTTCTCTGCTAGCTGCACAGAGGTTGTACCTCTTGCTAAATGAAGCAGGAAAAGTGAATGGCAGATTAAAGATGAGCACCTAAGTCCCAAGATGTCTGACCAGGCATAGTTTATGTTTGGCCAGGCATGAAATTGTGCCTGGCAGCACGAGTAGCCTGAGCTCCAAAATGAGTGTGGGACTGGGGAGATGCCATGGCTTCATTAGGAGACGCAGGATTATGCCTTGGTTCCCAGGGCTGTGGGGAGACTGGCATCAGGCAGGACAGAACTGTTTTTTTGTGAAAAGTGTTACACAAGTGCAGAAAAAGCAAACCAAGCCAGAAGACAGAAAGAAATGGTTACATAGCTTGCCAAGCCATCCCCCGGCTGCATTCAGTCCCTGGGAAGGGGATGGTGAATGACAGCTGGGAGAAAAATGCTGAGAATCAGAAGGCGGCCCAGAAAACTGGAATTATTTCACAAACTGCATCCACAGAGAAAGAGAGCTTTGCTTAACATTGGTCAGTGTAGAGCAGTGGCCTTCAACTTTTTGCTGCCTGTGGACTAAGGTATTATTTCCAGGGAAGGTACAGAGCACAGTTGTGATAATTGCCTTCCAGTCGGTTAAAAAATTACTGCAAAAGGGAAGGAATATTCTCCTCACCATTTTCTGTGGGGGTCAGGAATAGAGAAACAAGCTTCTACTTCTGTAAGCAGAGGTAAGTTAGATAAACCACCAGTAGTGCTGACGGGGCTGGAATGCTGAGCACAGTGTGTTGTCCCTACCATTGGTGGCTTTTACAGAATCACAGAATTGCAGAATGTTTGGGGTTGGAAGGGATGCCAAAGATCAGCTAGGTCCAGCTTGCCTCCCATGAACAAGGACACCTTCCACTAGACCAGGTTGCCCAGATCCAACAGCACTTCCTGGTGAAGCTCGTCATGGGTAATCCCAGAACTGAAATTAAGGAAAAGCAAAGTAATCATAAAAGTCCATTATCCTGAGCAAGGTACAAAATGCTGGGGATCATATCCTGAACGAGGGAGCTCACAACTTTACAATACTTTTTTCCAAAACTCAGGGAAAAAATGTTTCCTGAAAGAACTGTGCTATGAACAGAAGCTCATTGAGTAGATAAGAAGCAATCATGGAATTAGTCATCAGGGATTCATTAGAAGGAGCAAGGCCGAAAATCTGGTGGCTTTTGTCTCTCAAACCACGTCATGCACTCATGGACCGTCATCTTCCCCTCGCAGCCCGTGCTACAGTTCAAGAATGCATTACTCATGCTTTTGTCTTGAGAGCCCTTTAAACAAATGAGTCTTGAGCCTTCAAGGCACCAGAGAAAGCACATGGTACCTCTTTCCTCATGATCTCAAGGCTGAATCCACCCTGCGCCTCTTCTTGCTAAGCAGATGTTAGTCACCCTCTGAAACAAAGACAATCCCCCATGACCACACATGTGCTGTCTTCAAGAAGACATGTGGA